TATTTAAAATGTAGCATGTTAACAAAAATATAATCATTACTGTTCGTTCAGAATTGTAGCATGGATTCATGTGATGCTATACCGAGCGCTGTCAGCGACTCTTGTTGGGAATGGACACTGTCAAACCGAAACATATGACCACTCTAGCACAGGCGGTAATAATATAATTTGATAAGCGTACATGGCTTCAGCATTAATGCACATTGCATTCTGCCTGTGTATATAGGCCAAAATATGAGCTGTATGCATGCACATTGTGAGCAAGTCAAACCATGCTGGTTGTTTTATTGTTGCCTGGGCTTCTGAAACGTAACATGGGCTTAGTTTGGTAAGGGCTTCAGTAGGAGGAGGACGGCCTTGTGTAACTGGATATGTTTACATGTTGCTTTGTGACCAGAATTTATTATTATGACTCACAAGGTTTCAACCCTAATTACAGAACTCGTAAATTTCGATTTGCATGTACGATACATTTTCCCAGGGCAGGGACGTTCGTTTAATACGGAAAATGACGGTTTATTACCGCGTAACGTTACTTTTTGTACCACCCTTCATCCCTTCCTCTCTCTCTCATTCTCAGTTGTCTGTATGGTAGAGAGCTGTATCATGTTTACATGGCATTGGCAATCATTAGCCACCGCTGCACCCCACAAACACGCACCTCCCGCGCGGAGTAGTTCTGATGTGCTATAGAGTTATTGCCTCTTGTTTCCTATTTTGCCAGTGACCTCTTTGGGGCGGGGGAGGGGTCTTGTTCCAATGTGAGCAGTGTCGCAGTAAGGAAGTGGTTGAATGACCTGCAGTTTTCGTTTAGCAAAATATGCTTTTTAAATTTTAATTGTGTACTTTTGGTTAGCCTTTGAATGTGTATACAATTTTATTTGCTTCAGAAGAAGCACAGTCGCGTAATTTTAAATGTTAAATTAGTAGTTTATGATCCTCGGTTTATGTTTCATGAAGTTTCTGTAATGAACGCCGCTCCGTATTTGTTCTCCATTGTGTTTTTGGGGCAGTATGAACTTGTACATTACCTGTGGAGAAAATATAGAGGGCGCTTCGTTTTTGCTTAATATTAGCATTCCACTTACATAACTTTTCTACCTGAAACATTCTTAATTTCAAATGCTTTCCGAATAACTTAACATCTTTTTTATTTTACATTTTATTGGACCCCGTTGTTTTTTGCATTAGTTTTCAAGGTGCGTAGAAAGAGCATATTAAAGTGTTTGAGATACGAAGTTTGAAGAGGATTAAAGAATATAGCATTAAGAAAAGCGTTTTTAATTATGGTCCACGAGGGAGAAGGATGTTGAAAATATAATGGAAAGATTTATCGAGAAAAAAGTTTTATAGGAAGTCACTTTGACCAAATCCTTCACCTAGCATCTTGTCACATCGGTTTTTTCCTAACCAATTCTACAGAATATCGAATGGATATATACGCACGACGTCAAACCAGGTGTCTTATTTTGTTTCCGAGTGCTCACTGCCGCGTGAACATGTGAAGGAATAGGAAGGTCGGCTCAATCACTCCTCATTCGATTTGGGTCTTCCTTCATCGACCGTTTGGATCAGTAGCTGTTGTTGTTGTTGTTGTTGTTGTTGTTGTTTGCTTCCTTCTTCTTCACCTCAGATCGTCTCGTCTTCTCTCCTCATGCAAAGCGATCACTCAAGAGAGCGTATAAAATAAGCCAGATGAAATGCATCATCATGTTTCTATCTGTCAGGTACTTGCCAGATAACGTAAGAACTAATAATGGGAATGTGAATAAGTCTTTATTTAAATTTGACAAATATAGACTTAGTTAAAAAGAAACCGTCTACATATGGACAGGAAACAGGTTTGTTTTTAATGAGCGTCATATCCGAGGGAGTAGAAAAAATTAATATTGGTTGATAATTGTAGAAGTGATTGAAACAAAAACACGTATCTGTGCATGCTAAAATGGGAGCCATAGATTTATCTACTAAACATGGTTTTGTCATTATCGTAGTTATAGTGAAATACAGTGTGATAGATACAGAAGAAGGCTTAAGTTATAAATGCTGTTTTTTGATTTAATTGCTTATATTAGTTTTATTAATTCCATTCGAAATGATGCTGTCAGTCACAAGTGGTAAACTGATGGTTTACGTCATGGTTATAATTCAATAATTAACATGGATATTTTGGTGAAACACTGTAAATTTTCTGCTGTTGATTATGGACTTGAAGTGAATGGATGGGTGATATATGGTCCAAATTTGATATTTCTACAGTTAAAGTGCTGACAGTCTTTGGTACATTAAGATAAACCATCCTGCATTCTCGGAACGTCGTGTGTGTGTGCGTCTGTCGGAATTTGATCAGGATTGTTACTTTTATAGGCCGTCGAAATATAATTTGGTTATCTTCGCAACTTGAAACAAGTTCGAAGAGATAATGTAACACTGAAGTAGAAGATAGTAGATACATTATACGTGTGATTCTCTGAAGTTTTTTTATAGACCTTCCCGAAGTGTCTGCTCACGTAGTTCGGGTTTTTAGAGGTTATCTGTAATAGAAAAGAGATACCAAACCATCTGCCAGAGGATGAAGCAAAACAGACTTGTACTATTTTCAAGAATGTGGATGATAGGCCAATAATGGTAGTTCACACTCCAGTGTTAATCCTTGAGCACTGGACGATGCTAGTAGCGGTGGACTACTTCAGGTCGAGTAAACCGAGAGTCATGTAATTCTCTGTCAGGACTACTTCAGGTCGTGTAAACCGAGAGTCATGTAATTCTCTGTATTTTTTCTACTGTTTAAAATGTTATTATCAATAATATTGTAATTTTATGTAAGCGTGTGGAGTATCATTTCTTGTTCAATTCTAAAGGGTTTTGGCGACGGTAGTTTACACTTAAAATTATTCATTGTCAGGACTTTTTCCATCGTAATTTACCAACTTCATGGTTCCCGAACGTCCATTACAGTTAAAACTTAAAATTATTTATTGTCAGGACTTTTTCCATCGTCTGTTCTGGACCAGTGACACAGACTAGCTCTATCTAGGGGACCCAACAGAGTAGGTACCTCTCACCTGAAGACGGAGACAGAACCAGCCTCCGAAACGTCGTAGTTTTAAAGAACAGACTATGGAAAAAGTCCTGACAAAGAATGATTTTTAATCATTTCTTGTATTCACGCTAGATTGAAATGGTAATCTACAACAATTTATGTGAAATCTTCGAATGTGTCCAGAACTAATAAAATATAAACCGCGGTAGTGAATGAAAACGGGATCAAAACTAATAAAATGTAAACCGCGGTAGTGAATGAAAACGGGACTCATCTTGAAATTAAGCGCAGTAAATGCTCTTGTAACGCAGTTTAGAATGTTTTTGTTTTGTCATTAACTCTTCCTATAGCAAGGATTAGTGACTT